GGAGCTAATATCATCGTTACAAATCGCTTCAAAACGGGGTTTTACGGGTTTGGAGATATGCCTATCCAAATCCAACGGGTCATGGACTCCTCGTCATGGCATCTACCAGGAACGCTTCTTTACTTAGACAATATTTCGGTATCGACCCGGGTATCCGAAGAAAGCCCATGATCGAATTTTTTGGCAGACGATTTTAAGACAACTGGTGGAAAAAACTCAGAATTAGAATGATCAGAAGTATCAAAACTAAATAATACATTTGTTGTTCTGCAAACTAACGCAGTGAATAGCTATTGAAACTATTGGCTAAGTTTAACACTGAAACAATCGACTGTCAAAATGAATCGGCTGAAACGGGGAGGGTTCTCATGCTTGAAGGACCGAATGCTTGAAAAATTTCAACCAATCAAAATCGCTAAGCGTTTCTATTGGCTAAATGCCTTTCTCACAAAATCGAAGTCAATAGTAGCAGAAAATGTATTAAATCAGTGGAAAATAATCAAAAATATTAAAAATTGCGGGTTACAACCGCAATACTATTCGGATAATCATCAAGATTAATGATGCCAAAATTATAGGAATTTTTCAGTCTTGAAAACTTATCTGCTTTTTATCTAATCGGTCAATATTATTACTAATGGCCTGGATTTATTTTCTTAATTTGAGGTTTTGAATACTCAATTCTGATTGGCTGAAAGTAAGCTAAAATTAATTTCAAGCATTCGGTCCTTCAAGCATGAGGGACGCCACCGGCTGAAACCATGAGATTTTTGCCTGAAATATTGGAGACAATTTTTCTCAATTGGCAAGAGTTTTTTGAAGCAGACTTTTTGCTCTTTCAACAAAGCAGATGAGATTCTGAAAAGTGAAGTGAAAGTTTTGAAAGCCACAAGTTTCGAAAAAAAAACACAGTTGGGCCCTCTTTTTAGCCATTACTCAGACAAGTTACATACATATAATGACGTTGTCTCCATAAAAGATGCTCAGGTAATTCGGGGATGCTCAGGTTGAAATATATTGCAAGTAACTATTTCTGGTTACCGCGCTTGAACGGGCAAGTTCAAATAGCGGCGGCAAGTTGCATGGTTTGTATCCAATCCGCCAAGAGTTTGAGGCTAGTCATTTTGGAAGGGTACTTTACAATATTGAAAAACTTTGAAGAACCAAAGCACTATTACGATTAGATTTTATTTGACTGTTGTCAGCGTTAATGAGGCGCAAAGTTTTTGTAACTGACCTGCGTTGACAGGTTCTCAAAATTCCCGTTGATTCAAATTAGTACGAGATCGGCCACAAGCAAATTTAGGGAGTTCCTAAAAAATGACATCACTTTACGCGCCATACCAAGGCCGATTAGGACAGACCAAAGGTCAGGTTTTATAGCGAAGTCTAAATATTTTTGAGCTAGAAAGATTATCCACCCAATATTTGAACCAGTGGGCAATCATCGGACAACTGGATTAGCTAAGAGATGTATTCGTACTGTGAGAGAGCGACTAGTGGGGTGTTATTTTCAAAAACCCAAACCGGCCTTGAAAGCTGATTAAATGAGATAATGTTCAATATAGGGACAACCACAGAGCAATAAATGGAGTTTTCGCCTTTTGAGGCACTGTTCGAAAGATATTACATAAATAAAAACACGCTTAATGCAAAATCACACTCTTATTGATGAGAAACCAGGATTGGGACTAATGACAGGATAGAGCATCCACTGGCTAGAGGTAAAAAAAGTCACCCAAGACAATTCAGGCAAAATAACTGCCTGCGACACGAACAAAACGCCAATATCGAGCGCGCAAAGAAAAAGTCATCACATCTTCGGTTAAAGTCAAGATCGTTAAAGCCAGAATTGTACCTTGAATTATTCAAAGAAAAAGAAAGCAGATTTTAATTGACTTGGAATGAAAGCTTCAAAAAAATGGTATTTCAATGATTTCAGATGCAAAATCACCACAGTCAGATGATGTACTAATTGAGCCGGATCAAAGTTCTGGACAAGCCGAAGCAGCCATAGACCCTGGCAAGAAAGCTGCGTTGCAGGCAACTATAAAAATCCCAATGGCAAAAGCACTATGGGCGTGTTGGAACCTGATCTAAACTACATTTTATGATTGGATAAATTAGATATTTTACCAATGTAAAGTATTTAATATTAACCAATCATGATCCATCTGACTAACAATCCACTTATTTGTAAGTGCTGAAATTACTTGTAATTTCAGCACCAGAGAGATTTGAATTTAACTTAGAAATTAGTTGACTCTCCAAGAAGACTTCAGCAACCGCAATAAACCAGTATACCCTAGATCTATTGAGCCTAGCAGAGACTAGTTAAACAACCTGAGACTAGATAGTATAAGAGTAAGATTAGGATTGGTATTAGACTAAGAAGTTGCACGAATCTATCCGGCCGAAAATAAGATAGCGTGACGAGCAGACGGTGTACCCTATCCGAAATTACTCTATGAGTTATACACTTCGGTCCTAACTCAGTGTGTGAGCATTACCACAAGGATGGCAACCAATCCGATCACAATTGACAGTGCGTCAGATGGGTCGGACTGACAGTGCGTCGGCGGAATGCACAGTAATTGTTCGACCGCATATGCAGTGACAGAGGGAACATTGCCACTACAGGCACAGCCGGCGGGGTGAGTAGCTAACAGTATCCCGAATCCAAAAACTGGAGAAATTGCGTCTTACTCGAGTCAGAAGAAAACAGTGTGATCAAATTGAATGTCGGACCTCGGAATCCGTAGATAAGGCTGAGGAGAATAATGAAAATCGAGACCAGAATGGCTTATCAGACATGGATGTGTACGACGAGAATTGATCCCACGTGGATGGAAAACGAGAAATGAGTAGCTCTTGGGCGGGTCGCCAAAATTAGAATTGCGAAAACACAAGGCCTCTCAGGGATGGCACACCGCGAAAATTCCTGTGCGAACATTTTTTACGAGGGGAATTCCTCAAAAAAATCTACCAGATAACGCTGAATCTGATAACGCCGAACGCCGACAGAAAGCTCGGAGAAGGAGCTTAATAAATTGCCGCTGGCGCCCCACGACAATCGAGCCCATCTAGGGAAGGAGTTCAAATTGGAGATCGTGCCACAGTTAAGAAAGCTTCAGTCATCCCTAAGAAAATTCCTAGCCCAAAGAAACGAAAAGCCGAAGATTCGTACTTTGGCCGCAAAAGGATCGTTTCTTTTAGGGGCGGACAACTTTTAGGATTATATCCATGGCTTAGACAAAGAAATTTCGAAGATATTCTTGACAAACTGAGTGAAGCATACACAAAGTTCACCTCCAATCACTGATGCACTGGGACCACGTAGATATATGCAGGTTGCAGGCTTCATGTCAGTAGCTAGCGGCCCAAACTTCAAATAGTCGAAAAATCCAGCTATAGAAAAACTTGTGGATGGGGCTCAGGAAGCGTTACAGCGGACACGTGAGGTGATAGACAAAACTTTTCGTGAGCTATTAGAAAGAAGAGCGACAGTTCCATTAACCCGACGAGTGCAACCGGCGAATCCTGAAAAAGCAGTAGACGAACATATGCAGTTGGTGAAAACAGTTATGCCTGAGGCAAAATCTACGGACGGATATTGCCAATGGCAACATAATAATTGCAATCAACTATGACCGTTAAGGATGACCCGAAGATCAAAATGATTGCAGGGACAGGAAATCTTGTTAACATCAGCGCAGAATCGAGTGGAGCGCTACATACGGACGGTTTGGTCATAGCAGTTGAGCTATCGGCCATTAATATGCCCAAAAATTATCAGCGTCAGATACTAGAAGAGCTAGAAAATTTATTGAAACAAAATTTTTCAAAACTTTTTCAGAAGTGGAATAAGGGGGCTAAATTAGCAGGTTATTAGAGGCTGATACTCGAACGCAGAATTTTATAGACTTGGCAGTAGACTGATTGTGAGTATATAGTGATTTTGATTTAATCAAGGATCGAATGTAGTAGAGACTGTTATTAGACACAGACATAATACATTATTGTGTTTTTTAAACAATAGAAATGATTGTCTTAAGTCTTTTCAATTTAACTTACATTGCTAAGTGTCTTGTGAGCATGCCTTTATTGGCGCAGTCACCAACGGAATCAAGTTACCGCGGCCTGGACGTTTTTGTCGAGCTACTGCGGCCTGAACGCTTACTTCTACAGAGACTTGGAAGTAGATTCAAGCTCCACAAATAGGAATATACATTTCTTGATCATTCTGAATAGTGGAAAAAAAAACTTTTTTCTTGAAAAGTTTTTGGGAAATCAAAGTTAAGAGTGAAGTTTTAAAATGTCACACTCAAAACCAATTTGAAGCGTTCTATCTGAAATCACGTTCTATGTAGTCCAAGCATGGTCATAATTTCTCGCCAATCCTTAATATGCATTTGCCGTATTATCTAAGACCCAACTTTTTTGTTATTTTTTAAATAAGGAATTGTTCAGTGTAAAAACCTGGGACAGAGGCAACGAAGACAACTTAAAAAATAAACGGGCATTTAAACTATAATAACAGGAAAACTTTTCAAATAAGAGACGCCCGTTTCTCCTGCTGAATTAACTTCCATAATTGGTTTACATAATTGGTTTTAACATAAAATGGGAGAAATCAGGCCATTTTTATAAAAGTTTGGCTAATTCTATTTTTATCGAAATATTAAGAATACTTATTGAATTAAAAAAAGAACAAAGTTTGAACTACAATGATTCATTTGTAGCTGAATTTTTGCTTATGAACCAAATAATAAAATTTAGCTATTTCTATTTTTATCGAATTATTACGAATACTAATTGAACTATAAAGTGAGCTCATTGATTCATTTATAGATCAACTTTGAATATGAACCAGTGAAACACGTTAATTTATCGGTATTTTTGGGTAACAAAAATTCCGATACTTAGTCGATGCTGCGCAGCAACATCACCATGGCTCTCATAAAGAGCATAGTTCCACTGTTTCTCGGGAAATGACTGACCTGGTGACGTCTTGGTGGAATGGGGAGGTGTTAGGGATACCCTTTACCCTACACCCCATCTCTTTAGTCCAATACTCGTCAAACCAGGGGTTGATCACACGTCTCTCCGCCCCCGGTCTCAAACCAACGAAGTAGTCTTCGAAACCTTAAAATCAAAATGTCTTCTCTTGAAAGAGAAAACCATAAAATGAGTTTTTATGCTCCGGATATTTGGTCTATGACAAGGTTGCAAGCGTTGCACGCAAAGCAGCTGAAAGTACAATTAGAAGGAATTGACTCATTAAAAAAAACTCCACTGTAAAACTTCACTGCAAAGCTATTTTTCCAGGTTTTATGCTTTGCAAAAGGCTTATCATGTTAGCATATATTTTAAAATGTATGATCATGTTTTCTGAAACTATGTCAATGGGTGTAAATAAGTGTGGGTTGCTTGCAATCGATGATCAAACATGAGCTCTCGAACTTTTTTTTTATCATAACGCTTTATCAGACATACAGGTCAAAGTTATTCTAAATCACTGGTTTTCCAAGGTTGAGTAAGAAGACCAAAATGTACTTGAAATTCGATTTTCAGTGTTGATGCAATTGTCAACAAAACAGCGGCGTAGAACGGATTTTCAAGGGGGTGGGGTGTGGGGGATTCGAGGGGGTGGGGTATATTGGCAGCGAAAGAGCTGTAGTCTCTGCAGTCGCATACTGTTCTTCTCTGTACTTGCCTCTGACTACTCCCGAGTCCGGTTGTACAGTAATGGCGCCCTCTAAGTACTGCTCGTGGGAGTGACTCATCTCCAGGTTGCCAGACCAGCCGTCACTCCCCAGCCAGATGAAGTGGGGGTCCCTGCCACTGTTCTGGGCAGCCGCCAGCAACAACTGCATCTCGGTGTTGGACGAAAACACGATCACCACTAAAACATTCATCATTATAATGAATGCTATATTGCTGGCAATATCCTTTTCTTTTAACGAATCGGGGCGAAGTTAATTAACCTAAAGCTGCTCTTTTTTTTCAGTCATTGCAGCACAAAAAAAAACAGGGTAAAAAGTCTAAATAACCTAAAAAAGTATTGTTGTTTTTTTTACGGAGAAAGTTGTTCAAGGTATTGCCACTTGTCAGTTGTTCACTGATATTGCCAGCAATTTGACACTAACTAAATATATGGCACTCATATCATATAACCTATCCTTTTCCTTGGCAGTGATGGTGTGTTAGGGCGAGCTCTAGCTTCAGGTCTACCACAGCTTGACAATTATCGAGAGCAACAGTGGTATCAGAAAGTTCTAGACGCAAAAAAAGCGACCATGAGTTGCGAAAAAAGAACTTAATAAACTAATTCAGTCTGGAATGTGCCGAAATATGAGAAACAAACTATGCCTAGACAGGCTGGATAGCCTTTCAAAGATCCTCTGCGAATCGCAGGAGCCACATTACTTTGTTTTTAGAAACGTATTATTACTTTGTTTTTAGAAACGTATTATTACTTTGTTTTTTCTTGCATTTTGTCACAGGAAGCACCTTTTGTTCCCATTCTTGTCTTGTCGTTTTATACAATTTGACATTAGAGTGGACATAAAACATTGCATATAAGACCACTGGTTTCAAGATATTTGTGCTGGGGTGTTTTGTTTCCTAAGAAAAATTTCGAAATTTTAGTTCATATCATCCAAAAAAAATTCAAATTCAAAAAATATTTCATCTGTGATCAGTTTTCGCAAAGCTCGGGGGGTTTAGGAATTGCCTATTTGGCCATTTAGGGATTATTAACACGCGATATACTTCGTGCTATTAACGTGTAAGTGGAGTCTCAATCCATTTTAGAATTCGTTCCAAATTGAATTGAGGCACACTATCTGGTCTATTTAATAATCTGCTATACGCAAACAAGACTGCTCGCATCAGGCCAAAGCCTTGAAAATTCCGAATGCTCATTTAAATTGTCACGCTAGTTTTTGAAAATTAAGAATTGGCAAAGTTATGAAATTTAGGCTGATCACATTAAAATTTATGAGTTACAATTTGAGCCGTGCAAAACCCTGTATGTTCCAACTTTAAGGTCTATGGAGCAATAATATCATAAGAAAAGTAAATGTATAAAAATAAAACAAAAAAAAACGTTTTTTTTTTTTAATTTGTGATTTTTTTTTGTGAAAATCAACCTCCAAAAATACAAATTGATAGATTTCGCTTCTAATAAAAAATCAAGGATGGCAAATAAGTTTCCATCAACCAACTTGGAACGATTTCTAACACGGATTAAATCTCCGCTTTTGCGCTAATAGCGCGAAATATATCGCGCGTTAATTGGCCCAAATTGGCCAAAATGGCAATTTTCAAACCCCCACAACATTACGAAAACCACCCCGAGCTCAAATATTTTGTTATTTTTGTTACTTCCGCAATTCAGTTTCGGAGAAATTGCTTCGCGTAAAAAACGCGTTCAGAAGCAAAATATAAAACGAGCAGTTTAATTAGACTTATTTCACAGTTAGACTCAGATTATTGTTTCGACTTTCGTAACGACTTTCAACTAGCCATTTTGACGGAATTTTTAAAAATCATTCGAAATGTATTTTTGTGCCGAGCTTGAATTTGAAAAGGTATTTTACCTGTGATCTTTTTTCCGCAAAGTTGTGGGGGTTTAAAGATTGCCATTTTGGGCAATTTGGAACAATTTACGCGCAATACGTTTGGCGCTATTAACGCGTAAGCGGAGATTTAATCCGACTTAGAAACCAATCCAAATTGGTTGAAGCAGGCTATTTGCCGTAATTGATTTGTTACTGCTAGCGAAATCTATCACTTTGTACTTTGTATGCCGTGTGGGGGGATGGTTTTCACAATTCGTTTTTTTATAACAATTAATTGTTTCATATTATTACTGCTCCATAGACCTCAAAAGTCAGTCGAGATATTCAAGGCTCCGTCCTGATACGAGCAGTCTTGTTTTAGTGGTTAGCGCGACCCTTCTGAAAATATGAAGATCAGTTTTTTTGAAAATCAGTCTGAATAAAAAAACCACCCTTGAGCATATATTTTCTTTAGTTTCGTCAAAAGTCGGAACAAATATATCACATTGTAATTTACTTAGCGTGGGGGGGGGTTGATTTTCTTGATCAATTATTTCAAAGCGAACACTACACTACTCCATAGACTTTAAAGGACCCCTGATGCGTCGCCCTGACACGAGCAGTCTTGCTCTTCATTGCCATCAAATTTTCCGGTAAACTTCTCACTATTCAACGCGATTAATTTTGAAAACGAGACAGAAGTTGCCCTAATTTGAACAACCTCAATGGGAGCTTAAACGGAAATAGTTCTGAAAAAAACTGCAAAAGCTTCAATCAAACACAAACTGCATCAACTTCCATTCTTTTAGCCTGAATCCTAATTTATTCTGGTTTTTGAGTGGTTTTTGATAACAGCCAAGGAAATTATCAAGTTTCTAATGAGCATTTTTTGGTCTGTATCGAAGAAAATAATGATTGAATTATCCAAATGATTGACAAATATCTTCATAGTTGGACAATATCTATCTCTTGATTCAATGATATGTCTGCACCGCCACATATCATTGACAGATATGTCTGAACCGCACTTTTCGTAGACATTTTACTTTTTGCAGTTAATTTGCAAAACTTTTTCATCAAAAATCTGTACTCCAGTTCGATGATCAATTTCATTGCAGCTTCGCGAGACTACCTCAATTAAAGTGTTTGCTTTTTCTATAATTTTTTGGCTCGTTATTGGTGCTATTATAGGTCGGTTTAATCATGGTGACAATTTTATGATGCTTTTTGTTGAACATTTTTTTTTCACTTGGACAAATTGCTGATTCGGGCTCTGGCTGAGCATCAGTTGCAAAGACATTTGAAATGATGAGATTTCGGAAAAATTTCGTTCAAAAACAAAAACACTGATTCGTAAACATTTGTTTTTGGCCTTTCTTATTAATGTCAATTAATATCATTACAAGGCCAAACTGTGCATTTTGTGTATTGTAAGCGGATTGCGCAACAAGGACGCTATCTCAATTACAAGCCATTTTCACTATCACTCAAGGCGCAAAGAGGAACTATTGTCTATGGTAGGTTTTTTCACATAAAAATCAGGTACGTGGAAAAAAGCTCCTACGTCATCATGTAAACTATCAAAATAAAAAGAGTCAGTCTTGACCAAGACTCCAAAAAGAAAATGTCAAAGCACTTGTTGTTTAGAAAAACCGGCTTTTTTAAATTTCCTTTTAAAATTTAATTTCAAATATTATTCGCATAATTTTTCTCTTTTTTTCATCCCTCACTTAAAACTTATCAATTGAACAATGTAAATAATATTTAGGCTGTTTTATATCTGATAAGCTTAAATCTAAGCTATACTGGCACTCAGTAAAAAAAAAAGAAAATAATCGATTAATTTTCAAAATTAATTGTATTTCTATTCAAATTGTAATTAGTTATAAGAGTCAAATTTAGGTGCTAAAACAATTAAATTAAATCATAATCACCACTTTTTTCAAGCAAATAAAATTGATTATGATCAATTATCATCGCTTATAATTTTTGATAAAATTTTCTTAAAATCAAATATAACAGATTATAATGTCTTATTTTGCCAATATATTGTTAAAACAGAAATAAATTTTATATTGGATCATAGTTTTGCTAATAATCTGAACGTTAAAGGCTTTAAGACATTTTGATTCATCTGAGCCCAAAGTTTTATCACGCAACACAACTATCGTGAAAAACCCTTTCATATTAGTTGAAAAGATTTTGCAGTAAGTGAAAATAACTAAGCCAAACTAATCATCAATATTTTGGTTTGAAAAAACAAAAAAACTTACAACAAACATAAGCGGTGGAGAAAAAAGTTATACAAAATTAAACAAATAGAAAAAAATTTATACATCTGATTTGATTTCAAAATTTTGATGAAACCCCTAATCTACACAGAGGCAAAGCGGAGCTTCGCACCACTTGAGAAACAGCAAAAAAACTTAAAATGTTGGGAAAAACAAGAACAAAACTTTTGTATGTCTCGATAGAAGATATCTAGAGTTAGGTGTTTTGATAACTTAATAGTTGTTTCTCTACTAAAATAAAGGAAAAGGGCGAAAACTCATGAAAAATTGAAGTCTTCCCAAAGCCACAACAAGTTTCTTGGAAAAATTGAGGAAACGCTGCTTCTACGGGAAAATTCTCGCAACCGGTTCATTAGTTTGAATCACAGGGTAGTCTGAAAAACGGTCAAAATTCAAAAACTTGATTTCCGAAAGCTATATCTTTTTTCTGCAAAAAGAAGGTCATAGCCGCGATAGCAGAGAAGAATTATAAGACCGGTTTTCTCGATTGACCACATAAACCTAAGAATTGGCAGAGTAGTTTTCGAGAAAAGCAAAAAATATCCAAAAAACGTCAATAAATCAAAAACGTTACTTTTCCGGAAATTATAGCTTTAATTATGAAAAGTTTCTGGGCGTAGCCGTTTATACAGAAGAGATTCACACAACTCTTATTTCAATTGAACGCAAAAATTCAGATTACAGTAAGTAGTTTTCGAAAAATCTTCAATTTGTTCTGAAAAACGGTGAAAAACAATTAATGTTTTCTCCGAAGGCCCTAACTTTTGTGTTAGAAAAAATTGAGCTTAAATGATTATGCAGGGGCACTTTCCACATCAGGTTGTTTTGATTGAACCCAAAAGTGATATTTGCGAATTTAGTTTTTGAGAAACAAAAAAACTCGAAAAATGGTCAACAACAACAAAATATGAAGGGGAATTTTTGAAGCAAACCGTTCTTTGGATAATATCAAAAATTTCAGATTTGGGCGGGTAGTTTTTTTAGAAAGATCTAAAAGAATCAAAAATGGTCGAAAAATGAAATACTTTTTATCTCTGA